CTGGGGACCTCCAAGAGGAGCTCGAGATCGGCGGGGGAGGCCAGAGTTTTCACCGGTGCTGTTCCCAACCTCGCTGTCGGGATTCGGTTTCGTGCGGGGGTCATTCCCGCGGCGTGCCGATTGTGATCCGGGCCCCCGACGAGGGCAGCCAGGCGTTGGGTTTTTTCTAAGGACGTCTCGCGGCGACATTGGTCAAAGGGAGGATGGGGAGGGAGAGAGGAGCGGGAGAAAGGAGGGAGGAAGGAGAATTAGTGAACGGGGAGGAGCGAATTGCAGGAAGAAGGACAGGAAGAGGCGGAGGAGTAGGAGGACCAGAGTAAACCCAGGATGCATAAATGATGCTGCATTGCTTTCCTCCCTCGTCTTCTGCAAACGTTCGTGCCCTAGTAGAAAAATAATGATGCTACAATGCGCTCTCCAGCCCCAAGCCCCGTCCTCAGATGTCCCCTTCTGGTAGCCCTCGGCCCATCCCGCGTGCCGGGGCGGGTTGTGGGCCAGAGTCCTCTTGGACACCTCTTGGGCGCATCTTCGGACCTCTTGGCGGTCTCGTGCGCCATCTTGTCACAAGGCTGTTCGTAGGGCCAGTTCGGGTTTCCCTCTCCGGGACCGAACAACCAAAACCAGCCAACAAGTTCCTGTTCGGTGAATTTGGGTGTTGGGAAGAACATGCGAACCACCCCAACAGTCACGCGGCAAGCCTTGGGATATCCGTGATTCGGGGATCTGACTTCTTAAACAATCTGAAAAACACAGGCTTCAAAGCGACCAGAGAACACTCCATTGAGTGTACGGCACAGCGGCGGACAAATTGTCCTTTCCATGTCGGGAAGAACCCACGGCCGAGGAGGGGATGAAGAAGAGAGGTAGGACGACGAGGAGGAAGAGGGGAAGGTTGAGGAAATAAAGGCCAGAGGTTAGTCGATAGCCTCTCCATCGACGGTCTGCCGCAGTGGAGTGTCTCATCATGGGCATCATCACCACCACCAATAACATCAGCATCACCACCAAAAACAGCAAATACGTCCCCAGTATCACCATAACAACAATAATCACAGTAGTAATAGTAATGATAATGATAATGGTAATGATAATGATAATGATAATGATAACAACAATAATATCAGCCAGCGTTGACTCCAAATAGATAAGGAGGACAGGAGGAGGACGAGAGGAGGATGGGAGGAGGACGAAAGGAGGACGGGAGCAGGACGGGAGGAGCAAAATCAAGCAAGCGCAAACAAGCAAGCGGAAGCAAGCAAGCGCAATCGAGCAATAACACGCAAGCAAGACGCAGCGATCAAGTGCAAGCAAGCAAGGGCAAGCAAGAGCCAGCAAGCGAAAGCAATCACGCAAGAGCAAGCAAGCAAGTGCCATTGGAAAATGGGAGGGTCCTAAAGACCAATTACTTCAAATGAGTCAGGACTCCTATAGGGCAAGCCTATTTGGAGGGTAATAATAATAATCGTCATCATCAGCAGCATCATCAGCAGCAGCATCAGCACCAGCATCCTCATCATCATCATCAGCAGCAGCATCATAGTCAGCATCAGCATCATCATCAACGTCATCATCATCATCAGCAGCAGCACCATCACCAACACCCCATGGCCATCAGCATCATCATCACCACCACCATCATCGATGGGCAGCATCATCACCATCAGTATCATCCTCATCAGGGTTTTCATCAGCATCTTCAGCATCATCAGCAGCATCATCGTCGTCATCTGCAGCAGCAGCAGCAGCGTCATCATCACCAGCAGAATCACCATCCTCATCCTCATCCCCATTCTCGTCCTCATTGCCATCCTCACTATCATCGGCGGTGGCGGCGCGTTCCTGGTCCTGGCCCCTGGTCTGGGCTTGTGGGCGCAGTACGGGTGCCTTTGCATTCACTATCTGCTCTTCTTCGACGTCCTGATTGTGGTGTCGCACGTAGTCCTGGTGGTCCGTTTCCTGGCGATGGTGTTGTTGTCGGTGCAGGTTCCTCATCTGCGCCTCAGCCGCTTGTGCCCGCCTGCCCTTCGTGCTGTGGCTGCTGATGCGAGGGCCGTGGAGCGCTGTGTGTTCAGGCATGGTGCGACGTGCCTCGTGGAGGGGCTGGTCACTCGCTGCGTTGTGGCTTCGGAGCCCCGCCTCGTGATGGCGCATGTCGGTCGGCGCACCAGTGCGTGTGCCACCCCGGCGATCGATAAGCACATGGTGAGGCAGCTTGTTTTTCCCCCACCATCTTGTGGTGTTGAGTCCTCGCTTTGAGCCAACAGCGCCCCGCGTCTCACTCCCCCTCCCTCCTCTCATCCCTGCCTCTGCGCTCTCCGCACGTCCAGCTCGGCACACGCCTCACGAGTTTCATGCCACCACAACTACGGAGCTCCACCTACAGCCCCAGCGCGTGCGTCCACGTGCCTGCCGCCCCATGATTTCGAAACGCGCCTCGCAAGTTTCGTGGCCCCATGGTGAGCTCCACCTGCGGCCCCCGCGGGTGCGTCCACATGCGGCCGCCCCGTACATGTCGGCACACCGTTCACAAGCTTCGTGGCCCCATAGGGAGCTCCACCTGCAGCCCCAGTGGGTGCGTCCACATGGGGCCGCCCGACAAATTTCGGCACACACCGCACACGTTTCGTGCGTGACCCCATAGGGGGCTCCCCCTCCTTCGTCCCAGCTTCCTTGCGGTACTCACACGTGCACAGGGCCAGGTCTTTCGCCAGGATCATTATGTTGGCTGACCGCACGCATGGCACTGAAGAACGATACTCTTCTCATTATGGTACAGGTGTCTCTGCCTGGGCAGGACTATGTCATAGAGCAGAGCATGCAGAAGACCGATGCAATCGTCGCGGAGCCTCACGACACAAGGGGCTCTTCGAGCTGAGGGGGTGGAACGACATTCATCATCTGCATCATCATCACCATCAGCATCATCATTATTATCGTCAGCATCAGCATCAGCATCATCGACATCATCAGCAGCATCATCAGCAGCATCGTTCATCATCAGCATCGTCATCAGCATCATCATCATCGTCGTCATCTTCAGTATCAGCATCATCATCATCATCATCATCATCATCAGCATCATCATCATCATCATTATCATCATCATCGTCGTCGTCATCGTCATCGTCATCGTCATCGTCATCATCATCGTCGTCATCAGCATAACCACCAGCAGCAGCATCACCATCATCATCTTCATCATCATGAGAACCATTACCATTATCCATACCATCACCAACATGTGCAGCATCACCATCATCATCACCATCATCACCACCATCATCATCAACATCATCCTTCCACCTCCCAATTCCTCCCTCCTCATTCATCCTCCCCCCCTCCCTCCCTCTTTCCCTCCCTCCCTCCCTTCCTCCCTCCCTCCCTCCTCCCTCCCCTCCCTCCTTCTCCTCCTCATGCTCCTCCTCATCATCCTCCTCTTTCTCCTCCATGCAACGAGATTTGTGCAAGCCCAAATGCGCCATGTCGGGCCAGGGGGAGACGGCTCGGCCTCAACCGCTTGGCCGCCCCTCCGAGGGCCACCGCCCCCTGCTCCTCAGCCTGCTCCGGCGGCGGCGACTGCCCCCTCTGGCGGTTGGCGCCCCCGAGGGCCGCCGCCAGGGGTCGCGCCACATCGCCACCCCCGAGGGCCGCCGCGCGCTGCGACGACGGCCCTCGGGGTCTCAGCCCTCTCTCGCAGCGGCGACGGCCCCCTCTGGCGGTTGGCGCCCGCCCTGTGGGTACCTCAAGAGCCTTGGCATGCAGGATGGCCCAGACCCCCTCGAGTTATGAATTATCCCAGTGCGACCCTACCTAGGAGTTGGAGCCCCTAGGAAAGCAGCATTAGTAGTAACAGTAAAGCTAAGCTGAAGCTAAGCTAAAGCTAAGCTAAAGCTAGGCTAAGGCTAAGCTAACACTAAGCTAAAGCTAAAGCTAAGCTGAAGCTAAGCTGAAGCTAAGCTAAAGCTAAGCTAAAGCTAAGCTAAAGCTAAACTAAAGCTAAAGCTAAAGATAAGCTAAAGCTAAGCTAAAGCTAAGCTGAAGCTAAGCTAACGCTAAGCTAAAGCTAAGCTAACGTTAAGCTGAAGCTAAGCTAAAGCTAAGCTAAAGCTAAACTGAAGCTAAGCTAAAGCTAAGCTAAAGCTAAGCTAAAGCTAAGCTGAAGCTAAGCCAAAGCTAAGCTAAAGTTAAGCTAAAGCTAAGCTAAAGCTAAGATAAAGCTAAGCTATAGCTAAGCTAAAGCTAAGCTGAAGCTAAGCTAAAGCTAAGCTAAAGCTAAGCTGAAGCTAAGCTAACACTAAGCTAAAGCTAAGCTAACACTAAGCTGAAGCTAAGCTACAGCTAAGCTAAAGCTAAGCTAACACTAAGATGAAGCTAAGCTAAAGCTAAGCTAAAGCTTAGCTAAGGCTAAGCTAACACTAAGCTAAAGCTAAGCTAAAGCTAAGCTGAAGCTAAGCTAAAGCTAAGCTAAAGCTAAGCTAAAGCTAAGCTGAAGCTAAGCTAAAGCTAAGCTAAAGCTAAGCTAAAGTTAAGCTAAAGCTAAAGCTAAAGCTAAAGCTAAAGCTAAGCTAAAGCTAAAGCTAAAGCTAAGGCTAAAGCTCCCAGGGGACTGGGGGAACCGCGGGGCGGGGACTGGGGGAACCGCCCTGGGCGGTTAGCACTGCCCGGCCCTTTAAGCAAAGAGAGTAAGAACCCTTCTAGGCAGAGCCTAGGTAGGGAAAAATCACAAGCGTGCTCTTCTCACGCACGCCCAACGACCACACTTCGGCTCACGCACCCAGGCTTAAGTCGGGCCTGCCCCTCTACAGGGGGGAGTATTCAAAAATTGTCAAAAAATGCTCTGGGGACGATTTCTTGACTATGATTTACCTCTGGGGAGTTTGTTTTGGCTGTTTTTTTGTTTTCCCCAAAAATCCGCCTGCCAGGGGGACATGCCCGACCTAAACGCAGGCCCAGTTCCGCCTCCTGGAGTGCTCCACGAGTCAAAGGGAGCCGTGCACCCAGCGCTGTCGGACGCATGGCGGCTCCTGCTGTGTACCACTCAAACGCAGTCTGCTCCCCGTGTTCGGCAGGCGGTGACCGCATCCTCTGGCGGTGGCGCCTTCTCTTGCCTCCTCCTCCCCCTCCTCCTCCTCCTCCTCCTCGTTCTCGTCCTCCTCCTCATCTTCCTCCTCCTCCTGCTCCTCCCCATCCTCCTCCCCATCCTCCTCCCCATCCTCCTCCTCCTCCTCCTCCTCCTCCTCCTCCTCCTCCTCCTCCTCTCCTCCTCCTCCTCCTCCTCCTCCTCCTCCTCCTCTTTCCCCTCCTCCTCCTCCTCCGAGGGGGAGGCGGGGAGGCGAGCGGAGCCACGCCATGCACGAGGTGCCCGAGTTCGCGGCGGCCTTCGGGAGCCGGGCCGGGCGGCAGTCGAGCAACGTTCACCGCAACGGGGACGGGGGCAAGAAGATGATGGCGGCACAGGCTCGACGCCGACGCCGGCATCCTCGCTGCGGAGGTCGAGGGTCGAGGGTCGAGGTTGTTGGGCACTTGTGCGCCCTTGAGGGCCTCCTGGAGCGCCCTCGAAGCCACGGCAGGATTCCCCTCGGAGTCCTGCTCGTGACGCGCTCCGCGAGAGGTTTGGGGGCCAGGGAGATGACCGCGGCGCCATCACGCTGGGCAACGAGAGCACGCAGATGCGGTCTTGTTCTCAGCATCGGGCTCACGTGCCGTCCCCTGCAGGACTTCTGGGATCCAGACTGGCTGCTGGCGATGTGCATGCAAAAGGGCCCCAACACGTGCGCAAAACTCTGGAGGGGGAAAAACACAAAGGCACAATTAATCGTCCATTCCTCAGAAAATACAGGAAAATAAAGGAAGTGAGGGGGAAAACGAAAACCCCAAGAACATGGGAAAATATGGGGAGTCGATTTATTTGTGTGTATTTATTTGTGTGTCCTGGGGCCCTTTCAAAAACCTCCAAAACGGGGACGCCGCCGACGACGCCGGCGCCGCCGACTTTGGAGGTCTGGGGTTGTCTCCGGGGCCTCGCGTCGCCACGGCGGGATGCGGCTCGAGCAGCAGGCCGAGAAGAGGACGCCGGCGCGGGCTCGACGCCGACGACGACGTCGTCGCCCTCGTTCTGGAGGTTTGGGAGGCATCTCGGGGGATGCTCGTCGCCACGGCTGGGCGCGGCCCGAACAAGTGGCCAGGAAGGTGGTGACGGCACAGGCTCTGCGGCCAGGGGCAAGGCTCGAGGGGCGAAGTTGTTGCTGTTGTTGTTGCTGGTGTTGCTGTTGTTGTTGTTGTTGTTGTTGAACATTATTTCTTCTGAAGAATAATTATTGTTGGGACCCCTGGTGCGCGCCCCCCCCGCCGCGCCTAGGCCGCAGCCACATTTTCATCATTTTCGTGAGGAAGTCTCAGATAAAACGATGTGATCCAGATCCGGTTGTTTTGTTGACGCCCGCTTTCCCTTGCAAAAAATAAGCTAAAGTGGACATTTCTTGTTCAAACATAACCAAACTTCAAGAATCCCTTGCAAAAAATAAGGTAAAGTGGACATTCGCGCGCGCAAGACGAAATCCTTCCAAAACCTTAGTTTTCGTAACGATTTTAACATAAAAACATCAAAAAACCAATGGTTTTTCAAAAAAAAATGTCAAAATTTCATCCCGCGCGCTCTTGCGGATTCGTAGGAAACCCAACACTTTTTAAACATTTCTGTCAAACGGGCTTTTGCGAGCAACTTTTTCGAACTTCTGCAACAACGGTTGCGCACCTGCCAGGGCCATCATCCCTGTCAAATAATACCATGCGGGACACATTCGTTTTTTCTTCGCGCGCGCACGCCGTCGTCGTCGGCCGCGGGGCCCTGAATAGTAGCCACGGTCGTCCGCATGCCACGAAGTGAAGTGTCCGAACGTCATAGGGCGGGAAGCTGGGTGTGGGTGGTGGCGAAGAGTCGTTTGGAAATTTGGTAGAGCTTGAACCGGCCCCCCCACAAAGTGGGGGTATTGCCCGCCTCCTATGAAAACCCTGGCACTGGTGAGAACGGAGTGTCCCCACGTGCTAGTAATTGTTGTTGTTGTTGTTGTTGTTGTTGAACATTATTAATTCTAAAGAATAATTATTGTTGGGCCCCCTGGTGCGCGCCCCCCCTGCGCCGCCTAGGCCGCAGCTACATTTTCATCATTTTCGTGAGGAAGCCTCAGAAAAGAGGGTGTGTACAGGATCCGGTTGTTTTGTTGTAATCCGCTTTCCCTTGCAAAAAACAATAGAAAATGACATTTCTTGTTCTAATATAATCAAATTTCAAGAATCCCTTGCAAAAAATAAGGTAAAGTGGACATTCGCGCGCGCAAGACGAAATCCTTCCAAAACCTTAGTGTTCGCAGCGATTTAACATAAAAACATCAAAAAACCAATGGTTTTTCAACCAACCAAAAAAATGTCAAAATCTCATCCCGCGCGCTCTTGCGGATTCGTAGGAAACCCAACACTTTTTAAACATTTCTGTCAAACGGGCTTTTGCGAGCAACTTTTTCGAACTTCTGCGACAACGGTTGCGCACCTGCCAGGGCCATCATCCCTGTCAAATAATACCATGCGGGACACATTCGTTTTTTCTTCGCGCGCGCACGCCGTCGTCGTCGGCCGCGGGGCCCTGAATAGTAGCCACGGTCGTCCGCATGCCACGAAGTGAAGTGTCCGAACGTCATAGGGCGGGAAGCTGGGTGTGGGTGGTGGCGAAGAGTCGTTTGGAAATTTGGTAGAGCTTGAACCGGCCCCCCCACAAAGTGGGGGTATCGCCCGCCTCCTATGAAAACCCTGGCACTGGTGAGAACGGTGTGTCCCCACGTGCTAGTAATTGTTGTTGTTGTGGTTGCTGTTGTTGTTGTTGGTGTTGTTGTTGGTGGTGCTGTTGTTGCTGCTGTTGCTGTTGTTGCTGTTGTTGTTGTTGCTGTTGTTGGTGTTGTTGGTGTTGTTGGTGTTATTGTTGTTAGTGTTGTTGTTGGTGGTGGTGGTGTTGTTGTTGGTGGTGTTGTTGTTGCTGTTGTTGTTGTTAGTGTTGTTGTGTTTGCCCTTTGGAGCGTGGAGTGGGGCGCCCTTGGAGCGCCCTGGTCGCCACGGATGGAGTCCCCTCGAAGTTCTCGTCGGAGCTCAAGCCAGGAGGGGCGCAGGCTTGGCGGCGGCGGCTCGACAAACAAGTGTATGCCCAGACCTCGAGGTGTCAGGTTCGGGCACCTTTTGGGGAACGCCTGGAGCGCCCTCGGTGCCACGGCGGGATCCCCGTCGAGATCCCGCGCAGAACTCGCCCCGGCGGAGGTCTGGAGGCCAAGCAGGCGGGCGGCGGCGCAGGCTATGCGCCGGCCCCGAGCATCAGGCCCGGGCGTCGCAAGAGCACATCGGGACGGATGTCTGTGTTTCGCGTTCGGCCTCCAGGGGCCGTTTCCTGGCCCCGAGCCGTATGACAGTAAAACAATTCTAGTCTTAAGTCGGGCTTGTCCTCTGACAGGAGGAATATCCACAAATGGTTTTCAGAAAATAGTCTGGGGACTATTTCTTAATTTGTCTTAACCGCGTTTGAATTTGTTTGACTATGTTAAAATTTGTCCTCGAAAATCGGCCTGTAGGGGGACAGGCCCGACCTAAAACTATTCAGGATGAAAAGCCAGTCCTGGCGAAGGGGTCGAGATGTTGGCGAGCCCGCGTCACAAAAACAAAGCGCAGCATTCGGAGGAGAGGGGGCGGGGACGTCGACGTCGTCACTTCGGAGTCTTGGGGGGGAGGGGGGGCGTTTCTGGAGGTTCTCGTCGCCACAGCTGGGCGAGGTTCGAAAAAAAGGCCAGGATGGGCCTGGGGAGAGATCCACATTCCGGTTTCGAGCAGGGTATGACCCGTCCACCCCCCCTCGTCCTCCTCCCCGGCGACGTTCGCTCCTCCTCCTCCTCCTCCTCCTCCTCCTCCTCCTCCTCCTCCTCCTCCTCCTCTTCCTCCTCCTCCCGTCCCGAGCTTTTCTCAGCATCCTATCCCACCAAGCGGAGCGACACGCCATCAGTCTGCACGGCACAGCGTGTCGCAGGGACTGCCGCTGCAACACACTAAGCAACAGATCTTGGCCGCAGCAGTGCTGGGGAGGAGGAGTCCTCTATCTTCGGAGATCGGCTCTCGATCCTCCACCCCCTCCTCCAGGAAAGCCTTGGGATTGCTGGGAAAACCCCGCTGGAGTTGCGAGGGAGATCCTCAGACCTGAGATCGTGAGATTCACGACCGGAACCATAGACCCCATCATTCTGCTGCATCTCCCGAGCTGGATGAGCCGGCGAGGGCCCCAGGGCCCGGAGTGGGGCGCGAAGGCGCCCGGTGCAGACACAACTTGCGACGCCAGGATTCTCGAGGAGGGGTCTCGAGGAGCGCCCAGAAGCCCTGACCGCAGTGGAGCAGCGATGAGGATGACGAGGCGGAGGAGCACCCCGCCCCCTCTGGCGCCCCATCGGCCCCCCCCGAGGCCCTGCGGGAGGCCCTCGAGAAGCCGCCGCCGAGGCCCGAGGGGGTGCGGACCTACGCCTCAGAGGCGGTCAGCGGCGCGACCCACCTGGAGCTCGGCGACGGCGGCGCGGCCGCTGGCGCCGTCGGCGCCGCCGCAGTCGCCGTGGTCGCCGTCGCCGCGGTCCTCGTCGTCGTCGTCGTCGACGTCTTCGCCGCCGTCGTCGTCATGGTCGTCGCCGTCGCCGCCGTGGCCGTGGTCGCCGCCGCCGCCGTCGTGGCCTCGGTCGTCGCCGCCCGGCGTGGAAGGCGGCGAGGCCGCTGGCGCGCCAGGGCTGACGCCACGCTTCGAGGGCTGCGCGGGGAGCCGGTCTGGCGAGCAGCCGCACGCGAAGCAGGAGATGCTGGCAGGGAGCGGCACGTAATTTCGACAGGGGCGTTCGTTAGGGAGTGTGCCAGGGAGGCGCCAGGTCCTGGAGGATTCCATGATGTCCTGATTAGGGAGGCGGTGACAGCCCTGGCCAAGCCTCAAATTGGTGTTCCACCGGCTTTCACCCTGGACTCCTTCTCCACGGGTTCCTCGCCCAATGCCCTCACCGTATGCCCAGACCTCCTCGCGTGGGCACGACAAGCACAGCTGAAGGTTTCTCGTCGCTTTCGGCCAAGAGGTGACGTACGCTGGCCTCGACGGGGGTCCAGGGCGGGCCGTCGAGAGGAGGAGCAGCACTCGGGTGACGACGACGCCCGCCCCGCACAGCGCGCCCCTGGTGGCAGCAGATGGGCGGGCCGCCTGTCGTCGCCTTGCCTTCGAGAGGAGGAGGGGGAGGAGGAGGAGGAGGAGGAGGAGGAGGAGGAGGAGGAGGAGGAGGAGGGAGGAGGAGGAGGGGGAGGGAGGATGAGGAAGAGGAGGAGGAGGAGGAGGAGGAGGAAGAGGAGGAGGAGGAGGAGGAGGAGGACCAGTGCAAACCCAAGAGTCATCAGTGATGCTCCCTCTTCATAGGCCCCTACACGGGTTCATTTCCACTGTGTGAACTGCCTCGTTGGAAGGCGGCCGTTTGAAGACCCTGAAGCGTGCAAAAACATTGTTCCCGGGATTCCAACGCAACGGATAAACTTGACTGTTGCGTCTTGACGATCCTGAACCGTGCCAGAACGCCATTCTTGGGACGTCAACACCAAGAACCAATGTAAGCGATTGCACAAACATACTCTTGAATCACGATTAGAAAACGACTCGCCCTCCATCTGTGAAATTGTTGCCAGTGTTTACGTTTCAGCGTCATCAATGGTGAGGAAGTCTCAGACGAAACGCCCGGCCCGCCATGAAAACTGGCCTCGGTGTGCGACAGGCAGAAGTCACTTTTACCAAGAGGAATGGAGGACGAGGAGGAGAAGGAGGAGGAGTAGGAGGAGGAGGAGGAGGGCGAGGAGCAGGAGGACAAGGAGGACGAGGAGGAGAAGGAGGAGGAGGAGGAGGACGACGAGGAGGAGGGGCGGAGGAGAGGGAGGAGGAGGCGGAGGAGGAGGACGAGGAGGAGATCTTCCTCCTCCTGGGAGATCAGGAGGAGGGCGCAAACCACACCCGAGGCTGCCCAGGCCCATCCTGAGCCCAGGATGTGCTGGCAGGGAGCGGTACCCAGAGCTCCGCGCGCTGCGACCAACAAAAAAAATACGACGGTGGATTCGCCTTTTTGTGTCATTTTCGGCTGCTGGGGGCCCTTGCACGAAAGGGGACGACACGAAAATCTGCCCCCTGCCGTGCCCCGGGACCGTGATAGAACGGCTCGGGATGGACAAAATTGGTCCAGGGGGCCCCGCGAGCTGCCGCACGCGGAGCACGGCATGGCCGACAGGGAGCGACGGCTAGATCTCCGACGATGTGATGCTTTCAATCCGAGAATCCCAGCGTGTTTCCTCGATGTTGCCTGCTGGGGCCCATCATCGCGACCCAGGACCAACCAAAAACAAGGGTCCCTTGGGAAAACGGGTCGGGAGCGCTGGGGCCGCGGAGCGCAAAAGTCATACAGCCAACCCGCACAGGAAGGATCAGCAGCCTTCCGAGGTGGCCCTCGCATCCTTCCCTTTCGGCCCCTCCGCGGCCGCCCTCACTGGCCGCGCCCCGCCCGCAGAGCGTCGGCATGGCCTCCCAAGGCCCTTGCATCCGCATCGCGGGTCCTCATGATACGGATTGACTGTATCGGGTACAGGGTCCAGCTCGAGTAAGGAGCACTTACTTTTCACAGGGGGCTCGGTCGTTCCTTCGGTTTGCATGCGTTCCGCTACCTTTTTGGCGGCGAGCCCCCCTGGAGTTCCTTCGGACCTCCTAGACTTATTTGGAAAAAAAGGGCTTCGCTCCTTACTCATCCTTCCTTTGGTCAGGCCGAATACTGTAATGCCAGGGTAGGTAGGTCACCCGAGTGGGCGCGAGGGTGAAGGCGGTTCGCGCGTCGCGGTTTGGCCGGAGAGGCCCCCCCTTGTCAAGGCGGGGCGGCGCGAGGGTGCGAGACATTGTGCATTGCGGGGGACGCGGTGCGCGCAGTCTGGTGCCCCAGGATACGGCGGGGGCGCTAGTTGAGGAATGTGCCCAGGAGGCTTCCCAGACATGATCGCGTCGTTAAAGAATCAGGACGGCTAGTTTTTCACTATTTTCGGCCCCTGGAGGCCCTCGCCGGGCCTCGGGACCGTCAATAACCGACTCAGGACGAAAATCCGGTCCCAGGGAAGGGGTCGGGACTTCTGGGGACGCCGTCCTGAAAAAATCAGCACGTCGCATGTCTGGACTCAGACCCTGGAGGATTCCTTATCTTATGAGGTCGGCGGTGATATCCAGGGCCAATCCACGAGCGGTGTTCCACCCGCTTCCAGACCCTGGATTCCTTATCGAATGATACCACGCGCTCGCGCTCGACGCCGTTCGAATGATACCACGCGCTCGCGCTCGACGCGTTCGTATATCTATATATATATATATATATATATATAATATATATATAATATATAATATTAGAGAAGAGATATAGAGGAAAAACAAAAAAAAAAAAACAAAAACACAAAAAAAAAAAAAAAAAAAACTCCCCACCTCCCCCCCCCCCCAAAAAAAAAAAACGTAGTTAGGGGCGGGGGCGCAAAGGGCCGACAGGTTCGAGGTTTGAGGCGTTCGGGCGTTCTCATCGGCGCTCGGCTTCCAGCCTCGGGCGGCCTTCCAGCGGCTGCTCCTCGCCGAAGGTGTTCCAGGGCTGCCCGGATCGTCCCGAACGGCCGCCAGCGAGCCGAGTTATGACCCGAAAACCAGGGGGCAACGTTAGGGGGAGACCAGCTCGGGGGGGGGGGGGGGAACATCGAGCTTGGATCGGTGATGCATCGCAGATAGATCGGCGGTAGGCCCTCGATCGCGACACCGGGCGATCCTGAGCGGCGTGGGCTATCAGGCCCCTATCGGCGATGAGTGGGCGGTTGGGGGTCGATGCGTCCCCCTGTGAGCCACTCCCTCCTTTCGTCGTTGCCTCTGACATGCGTAGAAGGCGCCTGCCAGGCCTGGCCAGGGTCTGCTGGCGCCATGGCACGGGGCATGCTGGCGACGCGCACCAGGAGCGGCGGCCCTCCCGAGCGGTATTCCTTTTTCTTGGGGTAGCCTCCGGGAGGCTTCTCGTCGCCACAGCGGGATCCGCTTCGAAACACGGGCCAGGATTGGCTAACTTGATGCGAACCCTACCCCTACCCCCCATGATTTCTGAGGGTTCGTTCGGGAGCTCCCGAGCGAGGTGAACCCCACCCTCCTCCTCCGCAGAAATCGTGGGGGGTAGGGGTAGGATTCGCATGTGGTCCCATAAGGATGGACCCCAAGAGGGGTCTCGGGAGCGACTCTGAACGGGGCTGGGCCGGGCGCAGAGCGAGTAGCCTTCGTGGAAAGGCGGGAGGCTTCGCAGAGGGGGCGGGCGGCTCACGAGAAGGGCCCGGAGGCTTCGAGAGAGGCTCTCGAAGAGGCTGGCAGGGCTTCGGAGAGGCCCCCGTGCCTGCTCAGGAGCCCCCTCGCCCTCTTCGAAGGCCGCCCCCGCGCGCTGCGCCTGCGCCGCCGATGCACGCTGTGCTGGGCTCGGCCAGGAGGGCAGGAGGGCCCTCGCCGAGCACTGCGGCAGTGTATCAGAGCCCTCTGCGGCGAGGACAGGGGCCTGCGCACCTACGGGGCCGACGGCAGGAATTCCGCGGAGACCGAGCGGAGGCCCGCGCCCAGCACTCGGAGGAGAGGAGCCTACCAACGGACCAGTACACGTGTACCCAGACCTCCCGGCGCTGCCGCCGAAATCACGACGAAGGGTTTGGGCAGTTTCCTTCCAGCTTCAGGGGCCCGACAGCCGGGCAAGGGGACCGTCAAGAAACGGTTCAGGATGAAAAGGCGGTCCCCCTGAGGAAGTGGCCTCGAAACCTCCAGGGGCCCACGCTAGGAAAAAAGCACGGCGCCGGCGGTCTGGGCATACTACTGACGCCCCTCCCTCGTCCTCGCCTTCCTGGCCTCCCGGCGGGAGACGGGCCCTCGCCGCCACGCCGGGGCGCGCCTCGGAGACGTCCAGGGCAGGGCACGCTCCGATAGGGTGCCGGGGGGGGGCGCAGCGGCGTCGGCCTCTTCCTGCGCCCTGCAGGCACCTGTGGTGGGAGCAGCAGCAGGCCCAGAGGCTGATGTTCGGTGGCCTGGACGCGGCGCTGGCGTCCGAGCCCCAGCGCGGGGACGACAGGGCGGAGGCGTCCTTCCACGGCGCCGCCGGCCAGCCAGCCATCCGGGCGCAGGCTCGGGACGCGCGGGGGCCTGAGTGCAGCACAGGGCGTGGGCTGAGCCACAAGGCTCTGACGGAGAGGGGCGGCCACGACCGCATCATGTCCATGCCCGCGGACGAGGCCAGGGCAGCCATGTCGACGTTCGGCGACGGCGCCGGGAAGGCGACGTGGGAGCCTCTGCGGCGCGCGCTCATGGCCGCGCCCCCCGAGGGCGACATGGATCGCGGAGAGCCCTATGCAGGTTTGAGCGTGGCTGCAGAGGCGGGGCACGCAGAGAAGTTCGCCGGCAGGGCCGGAAAGGGCACCTGGGAGCGTTCCTCTCTGCTCGGAGCTTCCTCGTGCGTGTCGCCCCGAATCACCAGGGCAGGGCCACCGCCGGCCTGGCTCGGAGGAGGGGCTGCCGGCTCCCGGGCAGGCGAGGTCATCTTCCAGGGCCGCTGCGGCATCGCCGGGGAGAGCCGCTACCGCGCGGACTTCTCGGGCGAGGGCCCGTCGGGCCAGGCCCACGCGGGCGTGGCAAGCTGGGAGAGGCCGCTGGAGTGGAGCCTGCCCCCGGGCAGGGGCAGGCCGGGCCCAGCCAGCCGCTCCACCCCCGCACTGCGCACGCAGGCGTGGGGCCCGCCCCCCGAGGCAGCCTCGCCCCGCGCGGCCACGCCCAGGAGGCACGCGGGCGCAGCACCCCCGTGGGGCCCGCCCCCCGGGGCAGCATCGCCCCGCGCGGCCACGCCCAGGAGGCACGCGGGCACCGTGCCCCTGGACGCGGGAGGGCTGTCGACCGAGCATCGAAGAAGAAGCAGCCACGTGAGCGTCAACTTTCGGAGGCCTGCGCGGACTTCCAGGGCCAGCGCTGGACCCGCTCCCTGGCATGCGGGGCGCCGCCAGGGGGGCCCGGCCAGCGCCGATCCGAGAACTCCGTGCATTAGCGGGCGAAGAACGGTATAAAACAGTGTTTTCCGACACCGGGGGCGCTGCCCCAGGGCGGCTGCAAAGCTTATATACCTTGACGTGCCACCGTAAGGGCATAAACTTCCCAGCCGCCCTGGGGCAGGCGCCCCCGACAGCGAAAAAGCATATCTACCGTCCCCAGAGATCCGATGTCGTGATTTGTTCAGTACGGGGTCCCCGGAAGTCTCGACCCATTCCCGAGGACCGGCTATTCATCCCGAGTCGTTTTATGACGGTCCCGGGGCCTGGCGAGGGCCGCCAGAGGCCGAAAATCGAGAAAAACCTCCGTCTTGATTTGTTTCCATATACGTTGGAGGTCTGGGGATGATGACCCTTGACCCTCTTCCATCCCCAGAATCGCCCTCCTCCTCCTCCTCCTCCTCCTCCTCCTCCTCCTCCTCGTCTCCAGGCTCGTGCCTCCGCAGGCCACGATACACCGCCACACGGCCCCTGGCCTCCCCGTGCGCGGCGGGAGCACACGGGAGCCTCGTGAGGCCTTGGAGGCGCCCAAGGGATCTGCGCTTGACGGGCCCCGAGAAGATCGGTCAAGAAGGGGGGGGCGAGGGCAGACAGCTCACAATCAGTCCCTCCTCCTCTTCTTCCTCCTCCTCCTCCTCCTCCTCCTCCTCCTCCTCCTTCCTCCTCCTCCTCGTCTGGGCTCTTCGCCCGCTCAGCAAGCCTCCGAGCGTTGGCGCTCGTGCCGTTGCGCCTTCTCCGAGAGAAGACGGCCCTGGCGCCCGCGCCCGGCGCCCTCGGCGCGGCCAGCCCCCGCCCGCCGCGGGAGGCGGCGGCCCCCGCCCTCGGCGGGGACAGGA